CGGGGTGACACGGGGGACACGGGGGGATGTGACAAACCCCAGAGAGGGTGGGACACGGGGGACACGGGGGGATGTGACAGAGCCCTGAGAGGGGTGGTGACACGGGGGACTCGGGGTGACACGGGGGACACGGGGGGATGTGACAAACCCCAGAGAGGGGTGGTGACACGGGGGACACGTGTGACCCCGCATCCCGCTGAGCTCGGGGTGTCCCTGTCGCTGTCCCCCTGCCCTCAGGAGCCTCCGGCCGGAGCCGTGGCCGGAGCCCGGCGTGGAGCGGGCGGCCGGGGCCGTTCCGAACCTGGGACTCGGAGCTTTACCAGCCCTGGCGGGACGGGACCCGCGACTGCTGGCGAGGTGAGAGCCAGCCCGCTGTCCCCGTGTCACCCCCGGCGCGTCCCGCGGTGTCGCTGAGCCTCCCGCGGTGTCCCCGAGCAGGTGGCGATGTCACCTTCGACATCAGCAACGACGCTCCCACCATGGCGGGTGCCGAGGCCACCTTCTCCATCGCCCTGCGCTTCCCGGGCAACCAGAGCGTGCTGCCCGATGGCCGCGTGGTGTGGAGCCAGAACTGCACCGTCAATGGTCAGCGAGCCCCCAGAACCGCCCCCAAAATCCCCGGACTACACCAAAACCGTCCTGAACCACCCCAGAACCGTCCTGAACCACCCCAGAACTTTCCTGAAACACCCCAAAACCGTCCTGAAACACCCCAGAACCGTCCTGAACCACCCCAGAACCTTCCTGAACCACCCCAAAACCGTCCTGAAACACCCCAGAACCGTCCTGAACCACCCCAAAACCGTCCTGAACCACCCCAGAACCGTCCTGAACCACCCCAGAACTTTCCTGAACCACCCCAGAATCTTCCTGAAACACCCCAGAACCGTCCTGAAACACCCCAGAACTGCCCCCAAAATCCCCAAACTACACCGAAACCTTCCTGAACCACTCCAGAACCCCCTAAAGCCACCCCAAAACACCCCAAAACCCCTCTAAACCACCCCAAAACACCCCAAAACACCCCAAAACCCCTCTAAAACACCCCAAAACACCCCAAAACCCCTCTAAACCACCCCCAAAACACCCTGAAATCCCCCCAAACCCGGCCAGGGACCCCCACCCGCGCCCCTCACCCTCCGTGTCCCCGCAGTGCTCCCCCACCCCGTTTGTCCCCACAGTGTCCCCATGGTGTCCCCAGGGTGTCCCCTGACCCGTGGTGTCCCCAGGGTGTCCCCATGGTGTCCCCAGGGTGTCCCCAATGCCCCCTGACCCCGGGGTGTCCCCATGGTGTCCCCAGGGTGTCCCCAATGCCCCCTGACCCTGGGGTGTCCCCATGGTGTCCCCAGGGTGTCCCCAATGCCCCCTGACCCCGGGGTGTCCCCAGGGTGTCCCCTGACCCCAGACTGTCCCCACAGGCACACAGGTGGCCCGAGGTGACCCGGTGTTCCCGGAGCAGCCGGACGCCACCGGAGCGTTTCCGGACGGGCAGCCCATGCCCAGGGGCAAGCGCGGCAAGTTCGTCTACGTCTGGTGGACCTGGGGTGAGGATGGCACCGATGGACCCCAAAAACGGCCCGGGGGGACCCGAGGTGGCACTGACCCCTCTGAGGTGGCACTGACCATGGCACTGACCCTGCTGTGGTGGCACTGACCCCTCTGAGGTGGCACTGACCATGGCACTGACCCTGCTGTGGTGGCACTGACCACGGCACTGACCCCTCTGAGGTGGCACTGACCCCTCTGAGG